GTAGAAGCGATCGCTGGAACAAGGCCTTTACCAGCCTAACGTCTCGGATTCTCACTTGAATCCATCTCAATCATCTTTGTTGTTCAAAGACTTATTTCAATTTTGCTCCTAATGCAATGCCGTACGATTAGAAACCACGGAGCTCAGGACAAAGTCACTTTCTGAGCGCTGACATGCTGATATTTGGATAAACATCTAACCCGTACGCCATGCAGTAAGCAATCAAGGCGTAGCTGTTGTTTAATTTTTAACCTTACTTCCTACGCCTAAATACAAATGTCTTAACGAAAGTAAACAAGCGATTTATCTAGTGTGTGTTTTATGCCGGTAGCACTTTTATTTATTGAGCATCACCGATTACGTGGATGCCGAGCCCGTAAACTCAAGGTGGAGTAGGAAAGTGAGTTGCCATTTTGCAATCAGCATAAATAAATGAATGCCATTCTTATCTGACCACATATTTTAATTCTCAGGTCAGAGAACATGGGCTTGGTACTTCAAGTGGTAAAAGCGTTCAGTTTAAATGTACAGTGACCCAGCGGACTCCGGCTGAAACCTCGGCTGTACCAGTATCTGCAGTTGGGGTGTCACCGAGTGAGTACAGCTGATAGTTCGAATCAGTCATTCTGATGGATGTTATTTTCGTTGCCATCATTTTTCAAGTTCGTTTCCCATGCACACTAGAAAAAAGCAACTCACCTCCGTTTGATCTGGTTTTCAAAAGAAAGGAATATTCTGGGTTTATGAAGCTTACTAACACCTGTATCATAGTCTATAACCTGACCTGCAGTTGGGCTTTGTAAACCTTGTGCTATATATTTTTGCTGTAGTAAACTCAAATAACCACGTCAAGTGCATCTAAATTTGAACTATGCTGTCCACAGGAAATTATAATGGATGTGGATCATGTTATACTCATAAAATGAATAATCCGGGGAACTGAAGTCGTCATGCGCGGATCGGACAAATTTTATGAATAAAATACAGATGTCCTTTAACCGCGCAATTTTAAAGAGCCAGTAGAATGGGTAACAGGCGCTAGATCTGTCACATGTTTGTTATAAAATGGGATTAGAGTTGCATATATAAACAGTTGAAAAACCCCGCCGCCTAACTATTTGCTCATTCATTTAAACCTAGTGTGGGTGGCTAGAAGGGCATCTAGTTAAAACCTTAAGTGCCATTATGTAGGAGCTAGCTTGAAATTGTTTCTGCTGCAAGTAATTTTTACAACTCAAAATCAAAATAAAAGGGATTCCCGTAGCGCATTCATGACTTGTAGTGTTTCATTGGTGTTTCATTTGTCTCCAATGAGCATAAAGGCTGAATTGCTACATTGGGTGTGCTACCTCAGGAAATGCTAAGCGAAATCCAGAAGTGCGTTTTTTGATTCAAAAAACTGCTTATGTAGAATTCCAAAACTGTTAACGTAAAGTATAATCCCTATATATTTCAGTTGTGCCAGGTTGGCGGTCTTTGAATGAGCTTCTTTTGTACCGTCTGCAAAAAGTACACTCTGTAAAAATTAATTGCCAACTAATATGAATTATTCAATTGTTTTTCGGTGCGCTCATAAATTCACGTATGTCATATGCAGAACGTACACGGGAAAATTCTCTCTTGCGCTCCCTTTGTAACATATCACGTCTTTCCAAGATATTCTGCCTAAGGAGGGAGTATTAAGGTTTCTAAAATCTTTTCAATTCTCAACTAATTTTTGTTCTACTTGTCATTATACGTGCAATCAGGGGTTTCAAAGTACATGCTGTACACACTTCGTCAGAGGAATATTGTACATTTCTCTACGCCGTTAGGAAGACTTCATAGAGAACTCGTACACTGTACAGTGGATGCAGACCAGGCCGTATACTTTATACGTTTGTCAAGTGAGCGTATCACCCTCACTGCTGTGGTTAGAATCTTGTTCGATCTCATTCTGTCTGCCCGCCAGCTTGCTACTGGCGACAGCGAACTTTATAAGCAGCTATTTTGGATGCGCCGATGCAATGCTGTATGAATGGAAACTACACAGTCTTAAAGATTTCATAAGTTGAAACTTATTTAAAACCAGTAGGCACTCTCTCTACAAGTTGAGAATTTGGAGAGGAGGCAATTTACTACCACATGAATACAAAAGAGACCATTTTCATGAAATATATTTGAATTTATGAAGAGATTGAAAATCAGTGGGAGATATTTAAATTACTTGTGTGGTCATTTTTTCATTGTGTAGTTTTTGTAGATGGCCGAAAATAAACTCGTTCAAAAGCTAGCATCCTGGGGTTACTGAAATATTCCTTTATAATGCCGCACTATAATTAATTTCCTTGGCGGTCTTTTCGAATCTAGTCGTATTTCGGAATTTCAATTAGAATTTCATGAAATAGCACAGATACTGTACAAGCGCTCTTTTCCAATCATTGCAGGAAGAAATAACAAGATAAGAAGCAAAATTGACTTAGCCCTATATTTTCATGGACTCTCCTTTACGTGGACAATATCCCATACGCTTCTTCAAATCACTTGAGAACGGGAGTAAAAAGGTCAAAGAAAGTCATCTTAGACTGAGTCCTGAGGCCTAACGTCCACTGCCGCTCTAAGGGACGTCTGAGGTCGCGGATGAAGGAATCATGTTGGAGAATCAGGGGCATTACTCTAAAAGCGAGTACTTGATCCGACACTTCTCTAACAGGTGATACACCTAAAAACACAACATCTAACTGAAGGAGATCGTCCGGCGTCTACCTATTGGAATTCAGTTAGAGAAAATGTCGTTACTTTAAATAACTCAGTCAATAAATTCGTAATATGGTAGAAGGCCATCGACCATTGGTGTGCATATGACTAAAATTCCCAAGTAGTGACTCAATCCTTTAACTATGATTATACTTTTGACATCAATGTAATCGGGTGAGGAGACATGCTTTGGTACCCAGTCAAGAGCCCTCGAAGACAGCTGCATAGCGACAAACCAGTATGTAGAAAAAGCAGTGTCAACAAAGAGAGGACAGACAGGGACGATCATTTCTAGCTTACTAGCCTTCCACAGCTATATTTGCCCACTCGGTGTTCGAATCCACATTCTCCAGTCGCTAGGCGTTATTAAGTCCAGCGTTCTACCCCTTCCATCCCTGTTATGATAGTTAACTAGAAAGGTGAAAGCTAAGAGCAAGAGAAGGTCACGGATACTTTCTTTTCTAATTACTCCTCATCCGAACGTGCACTTCGTATTTTGTATTTTAAGCAAAGAAATCAAGGTCAGCACCACTAAGGTGGGATCAAAGACGAAAAAGATGTTTTTGTTATTTGGAATATGTTCTTGGAATGCATTGACCAAAAGCTGCCTTTGGAATGCGAACTGCCAACATGGGTGATTCAAGGTCATATGTTGGCAACAGTGGTGTTGTCTCCCAAATGAACATTAATATCGAGATTTAAGCAGCGCCATTTACACAAAAATCTACCTTGTATACTAACCGTTCCATAAACTATGAGCTAAGCCTAGAATTCATTTTGCGTTTATTGTAGCATTAATTGGGTTTATTCTGTTTGACTGTTTGCCAAGAAAGAAAATTTTGCAAGTCATGATCATTTTGTGAAGTCGATGATTTATTTTAAGAACATTAAATCTAATAGGGATTGTTGGCATGATTTGGTTCTGCAGTTCCACTCGATAACTAACACATGGTTAGCTATCCAAAACAACTTTTGTTGATGTGATTACGTTGGCTTTATATATATATATATATATATATATATATATATCAATCAGGAATGGGCGCACACCGATCTATTGGCTTCACAAAGCAAACAAGCTCCGTATGTGTGGCAAAGGTCACGAACAGGCAACCAATTACCAGGCCGAAGTCGGCCAAGTCATAATAGCAGCGAGGAGGGACGACAGAGAATGCGGGTAGATTGATACAGCACTGTTTCGGGCTTATTCTGCCTTCATTCAGCCAATCATAACCCTGACCACCAGCAGCTGAGACCAGAAACACAAACATGCGCACAGACGCACCTGGCGCAGTCGGTCCACCACTGAGGCCTACCAGATGGGTCATAAGCACTTCATCGAACCGAAGTTCATCAGTNAGGCAGAATAAGCCCGAAACAGTGCTGTATCAATCTACCCGCATTCTCTGTCGTCCCTCCTCGCTGCTATTATGACTTGGCCGACTTCGGCCTGGTAATTGGTTGCCTGTTCGTGACCTTTGCCACACATACGGAGCTTGTTTGCTTTGTGAAGCCAATAGATCGGTGTGCGCCCATTCCTGATTGATAAATACCCGATCTGCAGCGACAGAGAATGACAGGTGGCGAGGCACTGATGAACTTCGGTTCGATGAAGTGCTTATGACCCATCTGGTAGGCCTCAGTGGTGGACCGACTGCGCCAGGTGCGTCTGTGCGCATGTTTGTGTTTCTGGTCTCAGCTGCTGGTGGTCAGGGTTATGATTGGCTGAATGAAGGCAGAATAAGCCCGAAACAGTGCTGTATCAATCTACCCGCATTCTCTGTTGTCCCTCCTCTCTGCTATATATATATATATATGAGAAGAAAAGGCGATCTCGGGAACCATGGTTTTACTGTCCTGACGTTTCAAAAGCATACAAGCTTCCATCGTCGGAGGTGAGTGTGGTATCGCGCCTCACAGTATTTATAGGTGGGTGACAGTCATGTCCAAACGGGTTTTCTTACATATGAAGTCAGGGCGGCAGGGGGAAGGGGCGGGGGGAGTCCTAAAGCGTCTTTTCGCCGGATGAGGGGGTGGTGGATCAGCTTTAGTGGTCATCAGCCGCATGCACACATGAACTGTGGCGGGCGGGGGGGAGGGAGGGGAGGGGGTGACGGAATGTACTCAATCCACATCGGAGGCCGGTGTTGAGACGTTGGTGGTCGTCGTTCGTACCTTCATTGACCGTAGCCGTCGTCCAAGCCTGGCAATCTTGATTACGCCGCAAATCATCTCAAGAGGAGAACGAAGTCCTGGTGCACAATATGTCCTCTAAGCAGCTGACTCCTGCACAAATGAAAGTGCTGAGTCATGAGGCTTGCTTCAACACCACAGACGCCGATCCAGTCAATCCCGTGGCCACGGTAGAGTCGATTGTCAAACAAACCGGGGAATCCGGCGAAACAAAGCATCTCATTCGACAGCAGGTAGCCTCCTTGGCGATGTCACACAAACCGCGTGCAACTATTACCAAGGCCGAGCAGAGCGCTCTCAAGACACTGAGGGCTGACAGGAGCATCGTGATTCTACCAGCAGACAAAGGGCGTTCCACAATTGTGATGGATAAGGCAGACTACATTCAGAAAGCCAATGCCCTACTGGAAGACCGATAGGCGTACCTACCATGTAACGATGAACCGATGAGGAGGCTGGTGACGCAACTGGACGAGACACTCGCCGACATGCAAACGAGCAAGGCAATAAGTAAATCGGTACGACTGGCTATTAAGCCAGTAGACGCGGCCGCGCCACGCTTTTACGGACTACCAAAGGTACACAAAGCCGGGGTCCCCCTCCGGCCAATCGTATCATTGCGCGGCGCACCTACATTCAATTTGGCCAAATGGCTGTTCCGAAACCTGAGGTCTCTCACCTCGGACGCGGGCACGACGGTCTGTTCAGCTACTCAGTTCCTGGAGCGGATCAAAGGGATGAGACTTACCGAAGACGAGGTCATGGTGTCATTCGACGTCACCTCTCTTTTCACCTCGATCCTGCAAGACCTGGCAATCGAAACGGTCAGGGAGCTGCTCGAGAGTCAGTACGACGAGACGGACGTGACGGTAAAAAGAAGACATCTAGTCCAATTGCTGAGATTCTGCCTGAAGACGTACTTTACCTTTGAAGGCACGACCTACGAGCAGGTCAAGGGGACGCCAATGGGATCGCCGCTCTCGGGCTTCATCGCGGAGGCAGTTCTCCAAAAAGTAGAGATCCTCGTTTTCTCAACCTATTAGCCGAAATTTTGGGCTCGATATGTCGATGATACCTTCGTTATCATTAAGCGGCAAATGGTCAAGGAATTCCATGATGTCCTGAACTCTGTTTTCCCTGACATCCAGTTCACTATCGAGGCGGAAGCCAACAATCAACTGCCGTTCCTGGACGTTCTCGTCCATCGCAAACCAAATGGGCACCTTAAAACGACGGTATATAGGAAGGCCACTAATACGCGCCAAATCCTGAGCTTCCACAGTAAGCACCCGTTAGGCCACAAACGCAGTTGTGTGCGAACACTCTTCAGAAGGGCAGAAACACACTGCAGCGAGCCGGACGACAGAAGGTCAGAACTACGTTACCTCCAGCGCCTCTTCATGGCCAACGGGTATCCTCGCAACTTCATCGAACGCGGCAGACAGGCCGGACCGAGCCGACGTTTGGTGACAGAACGACCAACAATATGGCGGGCGCTTCCATTCATCGATGGCGTTTCTGAGGCCGTCTCGCGTCTCTTAAGACCGCTGGGGATCGGCATCGCCCACCGACCGGAGTCAACAATTCGACATCTGGTCATGAAACCTAAGGCCCCTCTGCCACTAGGTGAAACCACGAACGTCATCTACCGGATCCGGTGTAACTCCTGCGAAGCCAACTATATTGGGGAGACCGGCAAACGGCTACAGACCCGTGTTGGAGAACACATGAGGGCAGTAAGGCGAATGGACCCTTTATCTCTGGTGGCCGAACACTGCGCCGATGCCGGACACACGTTCGCCTTTCAGCATGCCGAAATTCTGGGCCGGGGAAACGATCGCATAGCCAGGGAAACAATCGAGGATTGGCACACGGGGACAACCTCCATCAACCGCTGTGTGGCTCTTCCCGCCGCCTATCAAGCCCTTCGAGCGCAGCTCAGTAAACAAATGAGCAGACGTGCACCCAGGCTAAACATGAAGCCAGACATGAGCGAGTCCATGGCGGATACACACTCAGCCACCCCCCCTCAACCGGGTTCCGACGAAGGCGCAGTGCTCACCACAGCCGGTCCATTCACTAGTCCGGCGGACGAGAAAACGGACAGTCGTTGCGGCGTAAACAAGATTGCCAGGCTTGGACGACAGCTACGGTCAATGAAGGTACGAACGACGACCACCAACGTCTCAACACCGGCCTCTGATGTGGATTGAGTACATTCCGTCACCCCCCCCCC